TCTTTTAGGATGGGGTGGAGGGGAAAAGTCTGTAAGCCATCAAGAAAGTGGTATTTGGGGGAAGGGGCAAAGGAATGGGGTATAGCCTGGAAGTAAATTTGGTCTGTGGGTCTGCAGTTCTGCACTCTGTACTAAATTCTGTGGAGTAGAAAGAGAATGGGCAGGTTATAAAGACCTTGCTCTATTTTATAGGCATCCTTTCAACAGCCTTCTCCAATCCAAGACAGCACTTGAATTTTCCCAGGTTGGTCTCACAAGCTTTCAGGCTTGCTTCCACCAAGCTTCCAAGCTTGAGGTCTAGTAGCCTGTTTTCATTTTTGTTTGCTTCAAATATGTTATCAGGGTGTTTTATTAAATAACACAAGCTCAGACTGGCTCCTGAGTGGACTTATCTTGTTCTTTTCTCCTCCTTCAGCAGGGATAGTTGTGGTGGGGAAGGTTGGACAGGGTATTTTGGTGTCTGCCCCACCATGTGGGTGTAAACTTTTCAGGAGCATTGTTTTCACAGGAAGCTTTTAATGTAAATACAGCATGTGGGAGAGTTTGTCCTGAGCATAGATGAAAAGGTCTGTGACGGGCCTGGGTTATAAATGGCTTCCTTGGATTGATGCAAAATCAAAACATTTCTTTTTGAGAGAAGAAAATCATAGGGGATGTTTACTTAGCCTGGAATCTTTTGCCCACTACTAAATGGAGAACCAAGGCCAGTGCAGGGTAGTGGTGCGGTGTTTTAAGCCAATCTTTGTGGGCCGAGAGGGAAACGCTGCTTTAGATCTCGGGAATGACCTTTTCATCCTCCCCAGCCCTCAGTTTTTGCACATGCTGTCCTTTAAGTTCGGAGCAGTAGAGGATCCTCATGTGCTAGAATGGACTGACCATGTCTATTCAAGCAGAGCCCAAGGGTGCTGTTTTTGTAAGTTAAGGAAAGGAAACCTCCTCCCCAGCTCCCCGCAAACAGAAAACTAGCTCATCAATGTTGCAAGTGGCTCCGAACTTCTCAAACTCGAAATAGCAGCACAAACCACCCTCCTGCTCAATGGTGGGTCAAGGAGAATAGAAAGCAGCTTTATGTTCTGGATTGGTTCTCTCCATTTGACTGCTTTGGAGAATGGGGAAATATGAATGAGCTTTGATTAGTTAGATCCGAACTAATCCAATATGTCCCGGACATCCCCTTTGTTCTCTTCTCCTCTTTTCTCCTCTCTCTGACTTGCTGCAAGATCTCAAGATTGTAAAGCCCTTGCAGCAAGAACCTTTAAAAGAAAATCTGCTTTGTAAGATCCCGTGCATTTTGGTTGCTGCTGCCACGGCTTCCGGTTGTTGTTATTGTCATCTTCATTCTCATCGTTGTCATTATTATTGTTATTAAACTTGTCCAAGCAAAAAAAGAAGGCTACTGTAAAAGAAACCCCCTTTAGGTTCCCTGGATCATTTGGGGACTTAACGCCTAGGAAGACCTGCTTGGACCCAGCCCGCAGCTGCCCATGGACACTAGAGGCCTGGGGCCTGAGGCAGGGTGGAGAAGAGCTAAGGGAGAAAAATGCTTAGCTCTTTCTCATCCTCCGCAGCAAGTGGGCTTCAGTGTTCCCTCTCGCCACCCCCCTCCCCACTGCTTTCTTCTTTTGGGCAAATATCTATAGAATCCTCGCTCTTCCCATCTGCACGAGTGTTTGGCAGCTCCCCTCCAGACCAACAGGACTGTCCCTCAGCCCCGAGGAGATTGCGGAAGGGGTGGGAAGGGACCGAGGGAGTGACCTGAGAGGGAGGCCCATTCGTGCCAAGGCAGGCGGGTGCTTCCTTTAGGGGCCTCTGATAGAATCTGACAACCCGTTGCCTCCAGCTGCTTCCAGCTGGCTAAGGAAAGCCTGGCCAACAAAGGAGACCCACACTGGACCTCTCTCTCGCTCGCTCGCTCGCTCTGCTTAATCATCAGTAGCCCTGTCGGCTTGCCTTTGAGGATGCCGTCCAAACAGGTTTCTGTCTCCAAATTTTCCTCATCCAGCCCCTCTCCAAAGCGTGTGCGCGAATGCCTCTGCTACCAAACGTTCGCTCTGCCCGCCCCCCCCCCCCCCGCAAATGCCGCTTCCTCGGATCCCTTTGGCTGGGCGGGTTGTGGCGCTCAGCTCTGCCGCCTTAACCTCATCTGACACTCCAGCTTACCATACGCTTAGGTGTAGCTGAGGGGAAACCCCAGCCCGGTTTCCAGATCAGCCGGGGCCAGCAAAGTGGGGTGATGAAACCACGGCCTGGCTTCCCCCTGAGCCAGTGTTACACAAGAGGGTGTGAGAGTGTGTGGGTCCATCCGCAGAACATCCTGGATGCACCTGGGTGTGGACAGGGTGTGTCCCTCTGTGAGTACAGGGTTGGGTGTGCAGTTAATAAAGGTGTATATGTTTTCATTTTGCCATTATCTGGTGATCGTGTGTTTGTGGGTGAGAGAGGCAAAGCAAAAGTAGGCGCTTTGGCATGTGGGTTTGCAGCCCTCCCACTTTGGACTGGATCCTCATCAGTTTGCGCTTTCTTCCTGCCCTTTGAAAATCCAGATCAGCTGCCTTTGCCTTAGTTCTGGCCGGCTTTCACCTCCCATTGCCCTTCAAAGCATTGTGGCAAACGGCTTTCCACATGCTGATGGCTGGGCCGGTTCTCTTCAACTCTCTGGAAGAGAAAAGATTGCTGGGACATAAAACAATATCGAAGAAACACAGAAGGGGTCTTCTTCTAGAACCCAAAGCAACGAAAGTGTTTCAAAGGCTGTTTGAGCTCCATGGCAGCAGTGTCTGCCTGGGTCAAATACTGCACTGGCAGCAGGAGTTGTATAGGCACATGCAAAGATTCAGGTCTTTGAGATTCAGGCCTGGGGAGGTTTGGACTGTGTGCCCCTCTATTTGCTGGCCTGCATGGGGGCACGGGCTCCCCATAGCAGTCATTTGCTGGCCAGCATGCGGCCGATCAGTTTCTTCTCCTGCCGCTCACCCTGGGAGAGCGTGCCCAAAGCTGTCAGCTGCTAACGCTAAGCAGCCGCACAGTCTGGCAATCTGACGGCAGGTCTGAAGTTTCAGGCTGTTTGCTTTTGGGCTGTCATGTTCAAGGATTAGGGGATGTCACGATTGCTCCTGGGTACGCATCTGGGGGTCTGATGGAGAACAACCTGTTCTGCATCCGGGCCCCAAAACAGAAAGATCAGCTGGGCCTCGAGCTTGTATGCCTGAGCAGGGCAAGTGACAAGGGGACGGATGTCTTAGTCTTTGGGCCACCTGCAAGTGTCTTCCTCCTGCCCCTCCACAACTATCACGAGGAAAGCTGTGCTTTCGAGGCCTCCTCCTCTGCGCGGCTGTGATGGTTATCTTCGGCTTTTCCAGTGGCGTTCTGGCTGCTTTTTGAACTATTATTATTAAAGTGACGCTAGTGGTCTTATCATACTTGTTTTTATTACGTGTCACTCCGAGAGCCTCTGCTCTGAGGCAACTCATAAATGAACAAAATAAGGAAATACTTGAAAAGAACTGAAACAATGGTGCTGATCATGTCACTGTGCCATAGATAGCAAATCGAGGTGTGGAAAAGCGGCCCTCACTCACAGCCCCTGGCTCGCTTAGGGAGAAGCAGCGGTAAAGGGGATTTTATGTCTTTATGGCCCTCTTAGAGGTTTCTAGCAAAGAGATCAAGCACATGTTAACTGGACAGGGGTCCTGGGACTGTGGGACTGCCTTGGAGAAAGCCCTCTTGCTGGTGTCCACCAAGCTAATAGATTCTATGAGCAGGTGTCCTGCAGGTCAGGGTGGGAGTCTCTTTTGGCCTGAGGGCCGAATCTGGTGTTGGAGCACTGCCTCGGGGCCTCATTCCAGTGTAGACAGGGCTGCAGAAGGGATGAGACAAAACCTATCAGCCTTCACACACCATACTTCCGGAAACATAAGGCTAAAGAGAAGGATCCCTGCTTTAAGAATGGGCATAATCCTTCTGGGAGGAAAGGAGGTGGGCAAGGGGCATTTGTATTTGAGGCCTCCTAGATGTTGCCCCCAGACCAGAGGTTCCCTGCATTGATTGGAGCTCTCCATGGTGTGGCTCTCCATGAATTAGTCCAGTCCAGAGTTTTGATGTACCTGGAATGCGCAACGAAGACTTGCCTGAGACCAATTAAACCAGGGGTGTAACTGCGGGGGTCTCCTCACTCAAGTCCAACACCCCAAGCACCACACTGCCCAGACCACGCCAGCCAGTGCCTCATGAGTAAGCACAGTGCTCATGTCACAGCGAGCTGCAAACTACCTGTGATGTGAGGGCTGGCCTGTCCGTGCAGCACGGCAGAGCGATTGCGGAGACCCGAGTTCAGATCCCCGCCACCCATGAAGTTCCCCATTTGAGCCTGAGCCAGCCAGAACCTCTTAGCCCAGAGCTGTGGTGTGAGGAGCATGTTGCCTGCCTTGAGCCAGCGTCAGAAGGACAGGAGATAAATAAATGCACAAACAAACAGATATTGACATGGCAGTAATGCATGCAGATTTACTTGTATGAATTATCCCTAGGGCAGCGATGGCAAGCCTTTTAGAGACCGAGTGCCCAAACTGCAGCCCAAACCCCACTTATTGATCGCAAAGGGGCAACGCTGCAATAAAACCTGCAAACTGAGGTTTTAGTTTAGGAAAAACCCCTCACAGCCAGTCCAAGCAAATCCTTGGCAGCGCACTGACTGGCCATGCGAAAGCTTGGAGGAGTTGCGGCTCGTGACATCATTGCCTGGCGCCGCTCTTCTTTCCCGAGCATGCGCATGGCCCCTGTGTGCGCTGTCATCCGATGCTGGGGCGATGCTGGGGCAACTTGGCTCGCGTGCCAACAGAGAGGGCTCTGTGTGCCCGCTGCGGCACACATTCCACAGGTTTGCCAGCACTGCCCTTGGGTGAGAAGGGTCCTTCTGCTCAGCGCCGAGTGTTTAGGAGTTGCTCGGGAGCGACCTTCGCATGCCCAATGTCTCTCTCCCCCTCTCTGTTTCTTCCCTCCAGCTGAAAGAACCGTATGCACTGACACAACCTCAGGAAACCCCAAGATGGCTGCCAAGCGCAAAGGTGGCCTGAAGCTGAATGCGATCTGCGCTAAGCTCAGCCGCCAGGTGGTCGTTGACCACAAGGGGCCTGAGCAGGGACACGCCGACAAGGCTCCCCTGAGGCAGGACAGCCCCGGTGGCGGCAGCACCTCCACCAAGCATGTTGCCCGGCTTGTGACGAAGGATCTGGGCACTGGGTTTTCTGAAGGGGGCGACTGCGTGCAGAAGATTGAGGAGGACAAGCGGAGGGAGGTGATTGAAAAGTGGGTCAACGGGGAGTACAGCGAAGACACCCTGCTGGGGCGCATCGAGAGCAAAGAGCCCAGGGGCTCCACGGGCACCGAGGTGCCTCCCGAGGGGGTCTACATGGTGCAGCCCAAGGGCTGCAGCGACGAAGAAGATAACGGAGATGAAGCCGAGCCACTGCGGGGCTCCCAAGATGGCAGCTTCCCGGACGATCGGGACTCGGATGGGCCTCCTTTGAAAGACGAGAGCTTCCGGAGTCCTGGCAGCGAAGCGGCTCCCAAGCTGAGTGGAGGAGCAACATCAGGTAAGCCTGCCCAGGCTGGCATTTCTTGCACATTATTTCCAGGGCCTCGGGAGCAGGTCCCAGTCTGGAGAGATTGACCAGACCTGGCTCTGAGGGCCAAGGGACACGCTCCGTTAGAGGTGGTCCTCGCAGTTTGGTGTGCATTGGCACTAGCGCAAGCACATGGGATCCAGGGTGGGTCATGGCCACCATGTGCTGAGAGGAAAGGTCTGAATCTCCCCACCAAGCTGCTTCTCCCCCTGTCCCCCAAATGCGCACACCTCCTTCCTAAATTCATCCCCCGCCCCCAACGCACAGCTGCCGATTTTGCAAATAAATGTCTTCCTTGGCACGAATGGAAGTTGTTCTCCTTCTGGTGTTCCCGTGTGGGTGGAGAATTTAGGAGGGGAGCTGGCTGCATGAAGCTATTTCAATGAGCAATTTCACCTGGACCAACCACAGCGATTGGAAGGAGGAAAGAAACTTCCTAGTCGCCTTGGAATTGGATGGCTCTCCTTTGTGGGCTGGAATTGTGCACCCCATATGACGCTCTGGGAAGTATTACAGCTGATACACCCCTGTGGGGCTTCTCTTCTTGGCTCACAGAATCCTGTAGGCTGCATTTATGTAGACTCGGTGGGTGGGAACCAGAATAGATGGCTTCTTAGTCCCTTCTCAAAGTCGTGTATATTCTCTGCACCTTGCTGGGCACTGATTCCGCTTGTGAATCCCGCAGCACTCCATTTCTAGCAAAAGACTGTTCAGATACATTTAATAAGGATTTTGTAAAAATGTGACTAAACAGTATAGTGCCATTAAATCAATCAATGATACCTTGAACATATTTAATAAATGAGGGCAATCCGTATGTATTATTTAGGAGATGAAAATAGCAATAAATAAATAAACCTTATTTGGCATTATTTAAAACACTAATTGCAGCTTCTGGATTGGGTGGAGTGAGACCTCAGAACACTAAAAACAAATATAAATGCGGGAGGTGGAGGAAAGGAAACCAGTAGTTCATGTAGCTGCAGCTTAACTCTGCAGAAAACACACAGATCATTCATTTCTTCCCCTTCCTGATTTTTCATGTGTTCTGTGCCCGTTTATTGACCAAGGTGTCCAGGCTGTGCGTTTTATGGGAAGTGTGCTTGCAAAGGTGCGAGCCTGCAAACGCCGTCCCGTTGGCCCTGGGATGCAGCAGCGAGAGGAAAGCATCCTTCCCTGCCTGCCTTCCTGGCTCTCCCTCCACACTCCGCAACCCGCTGCTGCCCCGGCTCGCTCTTGAAGGTGCGAGTAAGAAGAGAGCACGGCGGGCCGTGTGGGGAGATTAGCTGGCAGACGAGGCACAGGGGAGACAGCCTTCCCCTCTGGAGGAATCCGGCTGCCGTTGGCCCTGTGTCAGAGAGCAGCAGCTCCTACTGTGACACCTCAGCCTGCCACTGCTCTGGCTCAGCTCAGTACGCAGGCTGAATTGGAGCTGCCAAAGCAAACTCCCTGGAACAGAGGAGTGTTCCCTTCCCATTCTTCCTTTTTCTGCCTCTCATCCCCTCTGGGGAGCTCTTTCGAAGAGGTATTTCCTTCCCTTGCCCTTTCTTTCATTCATTCTTGTTGTCTGGCTCATCGCTGTACTGTTTGCGTGGTTTAATTTTTTCCCCTTAGTTTTTGAATTCCACCCTCCACTTTCTCCCTTTCTTTATGCATGACTGCATGTGTTGTACATTTTTTAAAAGCAGGGATTCCTTGCTTTAAAATAAAGCAAGGGGCACGGAAGAATGGGATGCACAGACCTCCTCTGTACTCTTCCCAGAAAGCTGGCATGAGGTTATGATTCTTCCTCCCTGGCTGGACACTGCGCATTCCCTGCCTAGAGCTTTTACAATCTAGATAAAATGCAAAACCCGAAATAACCCAATTTAATAAGAATGGTGTGCATTTCTAAGAAAGGATAACCGAACTGGCAACCTGGCTCCAAAAGGTGCCATGAAAATACACTATGGCTCCAATTTAGGTGAGTGTACAAGAGAACAAGAAACGGCATAAAGAACACTTTTCCAGTAGCACCCAGAAAGTCCACTGGACGTCTTGGGGGATCACCTTGGTGGAGACTTCCCTCACAGCTTGCCCGTCCTCAAACGGGAAGCAACATTCAACGGGCCCATCACTGTGCAGAGTTAAAGTGGTGACTTTCCCCGTGTTGAGAGCTTCTTTGCATCTGGACGCCGTTAAAAGAACGCAGGGTCTCAGGAGCGTCCAGCTGTCCCAGGAAGGAACCGAGGCCCAGCGTTGCGAGGGAGGGGCCCAGCCGACTGCGTGATCAGAAGACAGAGGGCCAGTTTGTGAGGAGGAGGAGAACAGCTTTTCTCCTGTTCCTGTGTTGTTTTTTTTAATGTAGTTTTGAATGCACAGGATTCATTCCTAGATGTCTGCCACCCGCCTTCCCAAAGGAGAGGGACATGTTCAGATGAAGTCTTAACTCCCATTCAGTTTTAATAACTTTGCTCGACACTTTGCCCTCTTTCCCACATCTCAAGAAAGCCCCCCCGATCTCACAGATCCATCAAAATTTCTCCCTTTTGTGTGTGTGGGTCCGAGCTTCCCCCCCACCCCACACATGCTCCCCCTGCCATTAATAATGCCGCTGAAACTCATCTCAGTTCATCTGTTCCTTCCCTCTTCTCCAGCCTTCGTGAGTTCAGTGGCAACGCACATAATTATGCATATAAGATATAAACAGAGCTGTTTAATTATCCTTCGCCACATCAGTGACAGAGTAATTAACAAACATTGCAAGATCAATGAGGAAAAGTGTGACCTTCAGTTTCCTTTGATAGGAAAAGCCCTTGTCTGTCGTTGGCACAAGGTGATTGAGCTTGGACTCGGCGTTTAAGTTTGTTTTAATTTTTCTCTCCCCACCACTCCAGTTTCTTCGCTGGAATTTTCTGTTTGCCCCCTCGCCCACCCCCACACGCTTATGGGGAACAGGGAGCATTCCTGGGAATCCAGAGCGGAGGGCCAGCCCACGGGGACTTGAACAGCACCATATGGCAAGGTCATATTTCTGCACCGTGCCAAGATGGAGGAAGGCTCCCACCCAAATCATGCAGTTCTTCCAGGTGAGGGAAACACACAGATGGCCCTCGCTTGAGAGACGGCAGCCACGAGAGCTTTAAAGCAAATCCTCCGTATGGAGAGCCAGGTAGCCATGCGGAGGAAGGGCCACGGGGCCTCCCGCTCTGTATTCCTAACACAACCCAAGGCAAAGTGGGGCAATGCGCAATGCTTCCCAGAAGACACCAGGTTTGCGCAAGTCATCTTTAGAGATGACGCCTTAGATTGCTCCTGCAGTTGCGGGAGCGTGCGTTAATAAACTACCATGATAAGGATGGTGGTTTAATAGACTTGTACACTGGCAACCCTATTTAAAAATATCTCTTAAGACTAGAGAAAACCAGTGACGGATCTTCTAAACGGTGGCTTTTCCAATACCCATAAGCCCAGGGAAGAGTGTGACAAGCTTCAACTTCGCCGTCCAAAATGGGGCAGGCAGAAGGAACATGGTCACCCCATGTTTTGGACATCACCTTCCCCAGCGTTCCTTCCCACTGACCATGATGACAGGTGACTCATGGTAGCAGACATCCAAAACGTCTGGAGGTCTACCTTCCACCAAACCCTTGCCTCAGTCACAGGCCAAGGACTAGCAGGAAGGGATTAGGCCAAGACCAGGCCCAAGAAATTACTGTCTTAGGGCAAGTCTTCCCAGAGCCCTGTGCTGCTGGAAGGGCGTATCTGAAGATTTTGGAAGTTACCAAAATGTTGTCCTTTTGATGCTCTGAACCAGTTTTTGAGCTCAGCTTTGCGGAGAAGCTCCATGCAGGTGCCACAACAGACATTTGATGGCAACTCTTGCTGTCTGCTGTGTGGGTCCAGCGCTAAGTGGCCATCCTCCAAAATAGAAAGGAGGAGCCATCGGCATGTTAATGTCTGAGGAACCTAGTTTCTTTTGATTATTTTCTTACCTTCTCCCAGGTGGTAAAAACCACTTCCTCCTCCCTCTTGCCTCCTGTACCTGCCCTGTCACTTCTGAGGGCATCTTCCATCCCACGTAGCCAACCTGACTCACCTCCACTTCCCTCCCTCCCTCCCTCCCTCCCGCTTTTCTAGATTTCAATGCAATGCTTCAAACACCTTCTTTGGCTGCTATTTGTTTTATTTAGGTTGCATTATTGTGGCGGGGGGCATTTGATGCTGCTGGTTCTAGTTTGGGAGCTGCTTTTGAAATGGATGGAAATTGACACGGTATATAAATGTGGCTCAGATAATAGCGAAAGGAGCCCCGTCATGCTCAAGCCTCTGTGGAGGCAGCACGCCCCTGGCAATAGGAATGCTTCCCGAATGAGTGGCTGTGCCGGGTTTGCCGGCACTCCCTGCCGGGAAGCACCCTTTGACCTCCCTGCTTTTTACAGCCAGTGGGGGGGGGGGGTGATTCTGGAGGCCTTGCATGCAGCCTGCAGCTGCTGACCAGGGTCACCCAGGCTTGTTCTGAAGGAAGGGGGTCCAGGAAAGCGCGAGGTGCCCGCAAGGCGTCTTTCCTCGCAGAGGGCTCTGTGTGTCTGTGTGTTGGAGACCTCCAGAGTTTTGAATTGCAACTATTCCAAGCACCCCGTGCCCCAAAATGCCAGCAGTGCCTCCTGCTCTGTTGTCCTCCCCCTCTGGACTCCCCCTCCTCATTTTTCCATTCAGATTGGAAAATAAAGCCCTGTTTGGGACACACACCCCCATCCCCTAGAAGCCAGACCTCCTGCTCCGTTTGGGCTGTTTTGCTTTCCCTTCCATATATAGTGTGTGGCTGTGGGCTATTTTTAGCCCCCTTTGGGTTGTGTGTGGTTTCTTTTTTTTCCCCTTTTGCTAACTCCGGATCCTTTGTGATATGAGAGCTGCCCAAAGCCAGGCGCTCGCTCTCTCTCTCGCTCTCTCTCTCTCTCAGTTCTCTGCTCTTTGGCAATGCCCACAAATGGACAGGTGGCAGAATCAGGGAGGGTGGGATTTTTCCCACCGGAGCGCAGCCGGAGGAAGTGAGGAGGAACACAGCAGAGAGTGTTTTGACAAGGGTCCCGCAAACCCAGAAAGGCAAAAGTCTTTTGCACCTGATCCCAAGCTGCCAGTGCTGCTGAGACCATTTCCTAACTCTGTCCGTGTTATCTTTTGGGGCTCTTAACCTCTGCATGGCCTGACCTGACCTTTGCAATGGAATTCCTCTGGCAGTGAAACCTACAGAAAAATCGAAGAGGAAACCTTCCCCACTCCTCACCCCTCCGCAAGCAAGTTGCAAATCCAGCTGCAAACCCCCGTCAAACGTACTTCCATTTCCCGTTCTGATCCCCTCCCGGCCCTTCGTGTGGCTTTACCCAGGCATGGATGGGGTTTCACCATGCCGAGCCCTGAGAGTAGCCAGAAGCAGAGGGGGTAGGGATGAAAGGATCGTTTTTCAGACCTGAGGAAAGATAGAAAGCAGAAATGGAGAAGACAGGATTTAGCCAGAACAGGGAAATCTTAGACCTGGGAGAGACAGGATTGTGTGGGATTAATCGCTTTTGTCGGGTCTCTAGCGTTGTGCTGAGGGAAAAGACAGCAGAACAGGCCAAAAAGCCCTGAGGCAGGAGAAAACCTTTCTGTGGGGGCTCCAGGGCATAGAAATGTGAGGTTTGTGGCACAGTCAGGTGACGGGGGAAGGTGCTCCTGTAGCCCTCCCGGGAGCGCAATAGCCCGTCAAACCTAGGAGGTCTAAATAGGTTTGGGAACCGGCTTTAAGGCAGAGGAGGTGAGAGGGTGTCAATCTTTTCTCTCCCCTCCCTTGCCTCCCTCGTTGTCCTGTTTCTCCCTACCTCAGCCTCATCGCCCAAAGATCCACGGACGCTGGGCACACGCTGCACTCCCTTTGGCCCTCCTGTCACTTTTTTCTGCATCCCGGGCCAAGTCTGCCCAAGAGGTTTTGATCAGAGCCCAGAACAGGCTCTGATTATGTTTTCACGGTCTGCCGTGGCACATTGGAAACTGGCTGACACTGGCTCAGGCCACAGGTCCATCTAGCCCAGTGTTGCCCACATCCTTTTTTTTGGGGGGGGGGGTGACATTTGAGAGTCGAGTGCTCTCACAAAATGGCTGCTATGGAGTGGGGCTTGCCCGTTCATCAAGTAACTGCCAGTGGTGAGCTTGGCTGACCACACGGCACGCATTCCCCAGAGCGGGGAAAGCGGGGAGACAGGAAGAAAGCACCCCCCAACCGAGAATTCAGGGGTGTCTCGCTCCAAGGCACCAGAACTGCTCTACCGAACCCAAGTAAAGTTGGTGCTGGAGGGCAGCACCTTGCAGTGCAACAGGCCCAACTCCCAGCAAATGAATTAAAGAATGCTAAGCCATAAAACAAACATCAGCAGAGGCAAGGATTGCGGCGGGTGCCTGCAATGTGGCTTTCGGCTGGCAGCTGTGGCTCCCCGAGGAAGGCGCCTTCTTCGGACACTGCAGAAGCGTTCAACAGCTGTGACGAGTTCCAAGGCCACTCAGTATGGGATGGCTGTCCCAGAGTGATGCACGCCATCCCTGTCCTCCTCCTCCTCCTCCCCGTAATTGCCACAACAAGCCTGAGAGGTAGGCCAGGGTCCTTCTCGCACTGGCCTCGGGGCTGACCTGCACTGATCCCTTGTCCCCTCTGCCCTGGGACAGACGGAGGCTTGTGCCCTGCTGGGTCGGGAGCAGATGGCTGGGCCGGATGCTGAGGGAGGCCTGCAAGACTCCCTCCTGCACAGCAAATCCTCACTGTGGGAAGAGATGGCGGGGTGGGGGAGAGCAGTAGGCAGCCTAAGAGGAGGAATGCCTCGTCAGCCCGAAGCGCGAATGAGGCCATGCTGGCACATCAGAACAATCTTTATCTCCTCCTTTGCACTGATACAAAGCGACCTCCAGGCTGTCCTTCCAAGTGACCAACCAAACAGCCTGGTAGGGTTCCTTCGGGGGCCATTTCTGGCCCACAAGGCAGGATAAAAACCACCCTCCCCCCCCCTCCTCCTCCTCCTCCTCCTGCTCCATCTTTCTTTCTTTAAGTAACATAAAATAAACGGCCAGGTTTGCAGCCCGGGAAGAAGAGCTCTCTGTGCATCCTCCCAAATGACAGGTTAGCCTGACTCGGAGCTTTGCCGGGGACTGGCAGTTCTTTGGCAGTGGCCTGGGATGCAGCGTTGGCAGGGGCGCATTGCCATGGCCACTCCCCCACTGGCTGGGAGAACGTTGGCCTGGCAGTCTGAGCTTGGGAAAGCTCTGCCAAGCATTCGGCTCTTGACTTGCCATTCAAAGCCACACACAGGCATGACTCTGGGATACACCAAATACCCCAATCGCAGCATTCACCAGGTCAGGCCACGCCACGCCACAGGCTCCCTGGGAACAAAGCCAACTTGCATTGGCCTCCGTACGTAAGAAATGATACTACAGGGAAAGATTCTGAAGCCCAGCTTGTGTGTTGAATCATGTTCTGCAACCTCAGCTTTCATTTTTAATTTCAAAGAACATGTTTCTAGTCCTTAAGTTCCCATCGCTTGACCTTTTGTCAATAACATCCGCCTTACCATAGAAAGCTGCCGTCACTACTTCACGAGTCCCCTTTATTGACTGTAGCAAACAAAAGGCCTGTTTCATCATGGGTAGATGAGTTGCGTGTGCACTCAAGCCCAACCAGCCCCCCAGGAAAGGGTGGGCAGTGATGGGAACGGGAGCTTCACCGTCTCCTCCCCCAAAGTTCAATTCTCAGAACAACCCGAAGAGTCGGTGACCAGCCCAAAGTCACCCCGTGAGCTTTGTGGCTTAAAAGGGACTACAGTCTGCGTCTCCAGAGTGTCAGTGCAACACTCTCACTGCTACGCCACTCTGTCTGTCTGTCTGTCTGTCTGTCCGTCCGTCCGTCCGGCTGGCTTCTCTCTTTCGGTCTGTAGCCCTTAAGCCAGAGGCGGAGTCTTGAGAGAGAGGGACAAAAGCAGCCCCCTGTCTCCAGTCTTCCCATTTCGTTAGGGGTGGCCTTCCCCGACCTGGGGCTTTTCCAGACTTCATCTCCCATCAGCCCCAGCCAGCATGGTTCCTGGCCAGGAATTCTGGGGACTGTGGTCCAGATCAGCAAAAGGGTAAAAAGTCAGGGAAGGCGGCACTGCCGAGTCTCCTGCCGTGGCCTCTCCTCTTGTGCCATCTCTCCCACGTCTTCCTTCCTGCTCTCCCGCACTCCTCTCTCCGGCGGCTGTCCCCCCACGGCTGCCCTCACACACACGTGCACACCAGGGGAGCTTGCGGTGCCTTTGGCGTATTGGCGGTGGCCTCACTTCCAGTAAAATTACTTTCCCTTCATATTAGGCCAAGGCAAGAGTGCAGAGACATTTATGAAACTTTGTTTAATGTACTGAAAAGCCATCGGCTAGAACATTTAGGAAATTGATTTTCCTGGCATTGATGAACTCTTTTTATTTTACCCCAGTATTAATTACTTTTTTTAAAAAAACAAATTAATTTAAGAGTCGTAAAACTGAACAAGTGAGCCAAACGTCAGTAGATCATGTTCTGTTTCTTCCCTTCTCCCCATCACCCCACACCAAGAATGGGAAGGAACGAGGAGACCTGCTCTCTCAATCCCGAGTGACCCGTTTTTCCTCCCGCCCATTGCTTTTTCCCAGGGGAGGCCTCATCGCTGCGGGACTACGCCGCCACCACCATGAACGAGTTCTTGGGCATGTTTGGCTACGATGACCAGAACATGCGGGACGAGCTGGCTCGCAAGATCAGCTTCGACAAGCTGAATGCCGCTACCTCAGAAGCCGTCCCGGCTGCCGCTGGCATTGCCGCCTCCCTCGCCGCTGACGACGACAGGAGCAAGAGGGCCCGCTTTTCCAAGTATGAAGAATACATCCGCAAGCTGAAGGCCGGGGAGCAAGTCCCGTGGTCCCTCCACCCGGCCAAGGCCGAGGAGCTGGCCAGCAAGCTCGGCAAGGAGGCCCCCGTGACCCTGGGGCAGCCCGTTCGGGTGCCTGCCCCCGACGCCTCCCTCCTGCCTGAGACGAAGGCCACCATCTTGCCCCTGCCCTCCCCCAGCAGTTCCCAAATGCAAGGGCTCATGTCGCGGGCCTCCAAGTATGACTTCTTCATCCAGAAGCTGAAGACGGGCGAGAGCCTTCGGCCACAGAACGGCAACAGCTACAAGAAGGCCTCCAAGTACGACCTGGAGAACGTCAAGTACCTGCACCTCTTCAAGCCGGGGGAGGGCAGCCCGGACATGGGGGGCGCCATCGCCTTCAAGACGGGCAAGGTGGGGCGCCCCTCCAAGTACGACGTCCGGAGCATCCCGCAGAAGCTCACCCCGGTCAAGGCGCCAGTGCCCAACCTGGTCCCCACGCCCCTTCCCAGCACCCCCAGCAGCACCCCAGCCGCTGGCCCCGAGCAGCCTGTCCCCCTCTCCTTCAGCACTCCTGAGTACCTGAAATCCACCTTCTCCAAGACGGATTCCATCACAACTGGAACAGTTTCCACTGTCAAGTAAGTCCGCCTCCATCGGTCGCCTCTCTCCCTCCGCGGGCAGGTTAGCGAAAGCAGGGAGGGAGGTGGCGAGGTGTGGCCTGGCCCTTCCCCCTCCCCGGCTGGGATCGATACGCTGGCGGCGGCCGGCAGGTGGCAGGTGCGGCTGTAGAGGATCGAGAGCCCAGGGGGCTCTTCCGCCACATTCCTGCCAGGCTGCCCGCCCCGCCTGATTTTCATTTTATTTCTTAAGGCGCTCTCTCACTCACTTGCTCTCTCTCTTTCTCTCTCTCTCTCTCTCTATATATATATATATATAAAATGAAAAGTCAGTTTGACTGGAAGGGTGGTATACTGCAAAGCAAAGCACTGCCCATCGTTATCTGAATTTCCAGACTACTTTTTTGTTCTGGAGCTCAGCCCCCAGACCCTTGGATAAGTTGCTTTTCTTAGAAGAAGTTTGTCTTCTGGGAACTGAGTGTTTTGTGGCTGCCACTGCCCGCCATGATGGCTATTTGGGGCATGGGCAAGCCTCCTCCCCCACCGCGATTTTGTGAGAGCGCCGGCAAGACTCGTGCAGTCCCAGACATGCCCACCCCCCCTTTTGACGGCTGCTTGCCACAGGCCGTGGGGAGAGGGCCGCCTCTTGGATGCTGAAGCCCGTGGTTTGCATGCGCAAGATTCCAAGTTCAGTCCCGAGAGTGCCAAAAAAAGGGAGGCGCTGGAAGCTGGCCCTGGGGGAAATGGTTCTCCGCCTGAGTCCACCGGGCCTGTCCTTGAGTCAGACGTTCTGCAGGAGGCGCCGGCCTCGCTCTGCCTAACGCAGGATCTGGCCCTGCGGGATGGGGAGCAGGCTGGGTTGCAGGAGGGTGGGCCCTGCAGCCTGACGCATCACTGGCAGGCCGGGACATCGGAAGCAGTTCCGACCTGCAGCTCTTGCTGGTGTGGTGGCATCCGTTATCCTGGCAGAAGTAGCAGGAGGAGAGAGAGGAGCCACACGAGCAAAGCTGGCTCCCGCTGCTTCTGGAGCAGGCAGCCTCTTTGGGCAAGGGGTGGGGGGGCGATTCTGTCTTGGGGACGTTCTTGGGGGAAGTACTCCCCAGTGGTGGGCAGGATCAAGGGCGAAAGGAGCGGAGTTGGAATGCCTGGTAAAGAAGCAAACCTGGCGTAGTTTGGCTGTGAGCAGCTTGTACCAGTCACACCTTGGGAGAGGCATTGCGACCTTTTGGAATGCGAGGGGGGGGGGACTGCACAAAGCACGGAAACCACCAAGCGGTGGGTGATTTGGAAAAGGGATGATGCCACAGAAAGGGCATGTGGCCTTCCCGGGTAGTGACAGAGGATGGGGTGGTTTTTGGCCCCTGGGGCCTGTGGGTACCCAGCCCAGGTTACTGGTTGACACACAGATCTACTGCATGTCCATGCCCAGAGTGTCCCGCTGCCTCTGGACACAGGGCAGATAAGCACATTTTCCAAGTGCAGGTGGATCCTTGGAAGGGATTTCTGCAAGTGTGTCGGCAGGGACCTGAGGGCACATGCCAGTACCTGGGGACCCCTCTCCCACAGGCACACACGTGCCAGCACATGGGGAACTGTTGCTACTCCGGATCTCACCTCCGCTGCCGTTGCATCATTTACTCGGTGTCCCTGCTGTTCCGCATCGTCAAGGAGTTGGTGGGAGTGGAGTCTGGGAAAGGCCAACAGAAGGGACCAGGAGCTACTGTAAGCTGAGCGTGAAGCCAGCCAAGAACTGCGACAGGGCAGACTGCTGTTGGCCGGGGTGGGTGCCAGGCGCTGTCGTCCTCTCGTCTTAGGAACCGCAGGCTGAGGAAGGCCAAGCCCAGCTCCTCGGTCATACGGCTGTCAGGCTGGGCTCGTGCCGGGGCGATTAGAGCGCCACGGCACCACAGGGCCAGCTGTGAGACACCTTGAGGTTTTCCAGTCATGCAAATCAGCCCAGGATGTGACCAGGGCAGCCAGATGTGCGGCTGCCAGCCCTCGGCATGCTTGGCTCGCGCGCGCGTGCTGTTAATCACAGTCCTGATTCTGCTTCCTTCCTGCCTCTCGGTCTCTTGCACTCTCTCTTTCCACCGCGGTTGGGGACGAACCTCAAGTGCAATCATGCTCTGCCCACAAGACTTCCTTGGGATGAGGGTGGTGAGGAAGGTCACGGCAGCTTATGCATCGAGCTTCGGCGTGGTTTTCTCTGTGACACTCTGAATCGCTGTTCAGATGCTGTGAGGGTTCTGGAAAGCTGGATGTGCTTTTCACTGGGCACCAGCGGGCAGCTCCTTCCTCCGCTGTTTTTGGAACCTGGGAACTCGGGGCATGTCGGTCCCTCTTTCCATCCAGCCCAGTGCTGTAGGCATTGCCTGGCAGCAGGGGCGCTTCCTCTTCAGTGAGGGAGCTTTTTCATCCCTATCTGGAGTTGCCAAGGACCGGACTGGGGACCCTGACTTGCAGCCCATGCTCCCCTGCTGCAGTGTGGCCCTTCCCCTTTCCCCTCTAAATCCAAGACATCGTGGAGACTTGGGGAGGCCCTGTCTCCTGCCCGTCAGGCAGCCTACCCTTACGCACCGTTTCTGCAAGGCTGACCTGTGTTTCAGAGGACACTGAGCCTTCCCTGGTCTGGGGTTTTCCAGTCATTGTGGATTCCAACTCCCACCAGCCCTAGCCAGCATGCCCCATGGTAAGGTATTCCGGGAGTCATAGTCCAAAGCTGCTGGATGGGGCCAGGCCGCTGTGTCAGTCTCCAGACACAGCATCGCGCTCTGCGTTCTGTGCTGGGCCAGGTCCCCTTTCCGAGACCATTTCCTTTTTCTGCTCCATTCTGAGGCCTTTTCCCCCACTGTTGTGTACGAATCTTCAACATGCAGGGCCCTGTATATTTCCTTAGGCCTTGGGTGTACCACTTTAAAATCAGCCCGAACCCCCATCACTAAATCAGAGGCCCCCCTTGGGCAGCGGTGGCCCGGTGGAGACACACAGGCAGCGCCTTTGCCTGCCGCTATCCTTGGGTGCCGAGCATTTCACGGGGGAGAAAGAGAGAGGGGCTTGGAGTGTGTCCGGACACTGCCTTGCGCTAACCATCTCTGCCCTGTGTGTGTTTCTCATTAGGAATGGATTAACCACTGACAAACCAGCTGTCACCGAAGATGTAAATATTTACCAGAAATATATTGCCAGGTAGGCTGACTTCCCCTGCCACCCCCCCCCCCCCGTGGGTTTCTTGGGAGGGGGTGGAGGAGGTCATGTGGGACAGGACTGGGCAGGGGGAGGGGCTGGGGGTCTCTGTCTGTCTGTCTGGGTGAAATGTAAAAAACCAGTCGTGGGAACTGAGTCTTTCCATTTCTCTCTGACATCCACACTGACTTCCCCACCGTCTTTCCTGCTCCCACTTCCATCCCGTCTTGTATGAAGGCTCGTCCAACCTCTTAAAGACCCGAGGGACCAGCCGGTATGGCCTTGAGCAACTGGGGTCTTCATTTCCTTTGGGGCATGGGGGCCGTCAGCAGCCGTGGAGCACCTGCTTTACCTGCAGAGGCCACCAGCCTCTCCCCCTGGCCTGGAAGACCCTCTGCACAAGACCCTGGAAAAGGGGGGTTACTCAGAGCAGCCCCTGTGCGAGCCAGACAGACAGATTGCCCGAGCCAGTATAAGGCAGCACCCTCAGCCCCTCGAGGGGCCCCTGGCGCTCAGTGGAAATGCACCATGTGGTGGGCATGTTTCTACCAAGTCCTGTACACACGCCACGTGGCAGCACGTGAGCCTGTGGGCTGAACAACTCTGGTTCCCACCCCTCCTCTTTTAATCCGGCATGATGCTTGAATATACCTCTGTATTTGCCCTTGGCTTTATTTGCCTGTCTGGGTGGAATTTTTGGCTGGCATCTTTTAGATCTGGCCTCTGAGGAGTAATTCGTAGATTAGCAAGGGTTGCTTTTCAGCCGCACAGAGCAGTGATCGTACTGGCGCACGGAAGCAGTAGAGACCACGGGAAGGCCGTGCAAAGAGCCGGACTGAAGCCGGCAGTCGGCCCCAAACGGCTGGGTGATGGAGGGGGGGGAAGAGTCCTGATGCCAGGCTGCCATCGTGGTTGGCATGGCTTGGGGCTTGCCGAGGGCCCCCAGCAGGGCTTCCAGGGAGTGCCCCCTTGCCTGCTCCTCTTCACCACGACAGCCTGCATTGCTCACCCTGTGCTCACTCTGGCTCAGACGGGGGTGGTGGAAAGGAGGAGCGGGAGGTGCCCTGCCCTGCTCGTGCCCTGCTTTCCACCCGCCAAGACAGTTTGTAATATCCCCTCATGTATTTGGCTAGGACTGTAAACCGCTGGGATGATTTGCAAAAGGTTTCTGGCCCCAGGTAACAGATAGCCATTAGGGCTAAGTAGCCATCAATGGCCTTCCCCTGCATGAATTCGGCTAAAGCCATCCGAGTCAGTGGCCTTCACAACATCTCAGGGAAGTAACTCCCGCACTGCGTGAAGGAGTTCTTCCTTTGATCTGTCCTGGATCAGCCACCCATCAACTTCCTGGGATGACCCCACTGGGTCCAAGTGTTACAGGAGAGGGTGGAAAACCTCTGTCTTTGAATGCTGTGGGCGCCCCATCCAGCTTCGATGGGCGACCTCCAGCCACCTCCTGCCTTGGTCATGGCTAGAATCTGTGCCAGGCGAGGTTCCCGATCTGAGAATGCGGTTCTTGTGTTCTTGCTGCAGAAAAAGGTGAGGTGAAGATTGCAGCCTCTGTCTTCTGTGTCTTTGAAGTTCTCTGTAAATACACACACCCTCGCCCATGTCTGCCTTCTGCAGGCATCTGAGGCAAACAGAGGGGTTTTTTTTTAATGTAAAAAGGTGTGGCCACAATTCTGAGCCAAACAAGAAGGTGCTTAGCACGTCCCTCATTGACTGCCCTGCTTCTCTCCCGGTCCAGATTCCAAGCTTGTGTTTACTGCTGTGGAGGGAAAAGCAGGAGGGGAAGTGGTTTTGAATTTATTATTTATTATTTAGTTAACTATTCATCAGTTGACGTTATTTTATTATATTTCTGAGGCACCCATTAGCTGACGCTCTCTGGGCAGTGTGGTGGCCAGTGGTGGGCAAAGAACTAAGCAGAGAGAGACACGCTCTCTCTGGCATCCCTCTGCTCACAGCTGCGACCCTACAAAGGCTTCCTTCCATCGGGGAAGATAGCGCAGTGCTTTCTTCAGTGCACTTGTCTGGAATCGGTAGAGCAGGGGTGGGCCAAAAGTGGCCCTCAAGCAGCCCCCGGTGCAACCCCCGTTGCCTGCCTCCTCCTGCCTCCCAAAACTCAGCATGCGGGGAGAAAAGCGAGCATTTCCCACCAAAATTTAGCAGCAAACCACTGTGGAGACCTACTAAGAACAAACTTAGCTGATTTTCAGGCTGGAGGCCTTTTTGCTCTCGACCTCCACAGCAAGATGCCAGCCACAACCGGCTCTGGCAGTAGCGAACTTGCCCAGGTCCACCCAGAGAGGCCCACACCTGTGCCGGCTTTGCTCCTCTTTCCTGGCAGTGATGAAGGATCGCACATCCCAAGATGTAAAACCTGGCCCAGCCTACCCTGTGTGTGCGTTTAAAAAGGGAGAAAATAATTCATTTTAAAGCTCTAAAAGGGGGGCAGAGGGAGACGGTGTCTGCGCGGCACAATTAGCTGAATGAGTTTGTTCGGCAGCTTTGCCAAAAGCTGCCCGTGAGTGAGCTGTCATTTTGAGCCACTGGATCACGCCTTTCTCTCACTTAGCTGAGTTTGGCATGTGTTTGCCTCTACTTTTCCCTCTGTATTTTTGCATTTCTTTTCCTGTGGATTCCATTATTATTATTATTATTATTATTATTATTATTATTATTATTATTATTAGTGCACCAGCAGATGGTTCTTGCTTAAATATTTACACGAGCTTTTCCTCCTCGCTCCCCATCACTTGTAATTGGGGTGGTGAGTTGTTGGGTAGTTTTTTCTTTTTTCTTTTCCCACCCGTCACGCACATCATCGTTACAGAGTAATGAGTATGTAAACACTTGCTAAGCATGCTGACTTCTGTATTTATTATTTTTATTGGTATTTATTTATCTGGGCCTTTCTCAGCTGCCTTTACCAGATCTCAGCAAACCAAAGGGATGAAACGAAGTGCATCTCTTGTCAGGCCTGTACCCATGTGCAGGACACGCCGTGTATCCAGGTGCAAGTGTGCTGGGCACACAAGTCATGTGTAAAGCAAGTTGGCTGCCAATTCTATTCGCCGTATTCTTCGCAATTTCACCTTGTTCCCAGTTCTCCAGGCACTGCTCTTCACAGCTCCCTTCTGTGTGGATTCTGAGCTGCTGAAACAGTTGCTTCTGTTTCAAAATAATACAGAATCGGTGAAATTATGCCCATAAGAGGCAGGGAGCAGAATCCCCTAAAGGCCACACCCGCATCTCTGTTTCATGGCTCCCCCACCAATAATACTTGTAATTTTTCTGCAGCACTGAAAATTCTCCATGAGAAATCTCTAGCTCTTCCCACAGTGTCCTAACTCCTGGGCAATCTTTTCCGCTATAGATATGCCTGACAAAGTTACTGATAGAGGAGAAGGGATTAAACGGTGGCCCAGAGGTCCACCACTGGTCCTTGAGAGCAGACCTTGACCCAGCAATGGCATCCTTAAAACCAGTTTTCTTTGATGCGTACACCACATCCTGAAGAGGCTAGCCAAAACTGGAGCTGAAATTAATTCCTGACACCATAATTGCTGGAGAAAAATGCTGAAGTGACAGGTGCTTCCTTTAATGTTTTGTCTGTGTGTTCAGAAGGCAACGCACTGTGCACATTTTAAAATTTAGCTCAAAAGGCAGCTCGCCGGAGGAAAATTTGAAGACACCCCCAGCTTTGTGCAGAATTAGTCCCAGTGAAGTTTTCGTGTAAGCTTCTCTGGACCGTGCTCACCAAGATTACAGTGCAGCAGAATAGCAGTCCCTTAAGTGGCCATTGTAGGATACACAAGTGTGTGGTTTAAAAAAGCAAACACAACTCATGTAGGGTTTAAAACATACCATTGTCATAAAATGGAATTGGGGTTTTGGAAGGGTTTTGAGTTATGCGGAGTCTCCAAACATATTTCCAGGTTTAGTTCATTTGACATTTTTGATTGCTATATTAAAACACTTCTTGATCTTGTAAAAATCTGTACCTAATTAATCAAGTGACGCACTTCTGAAAAAGTCACTTATCCTGGTAGAAAAATGTAGAACTGGGTGGCAGGCACCATCTTAGAAAAGGCATTCCTGCTTTCTTCCGCGGATGTGAGGGGATGCATCTTCTAAGATGGCCAAGGAAGGAGGACTTCCCCGCCACTTTCTTGATGCATGCAGATGCATGACTGGCTGGCTGGCTGATTGACATCGTTTGCTTAATTGACTAAGATTACCTGTTGCTAGGAGATAGGGATAGTTTTATTTCGGGGAGCAGTGAGCCAGCTTTCCCCAGATTGGTGCCCTCCATTCTTCAGCCCCAATGGCCTACAGTCAGGAATGCTGGGAGTTGGAGTTGCCACTCCAAACATCTGGAGGACACCCGCTTGAGGAAGGCTGGCTTAGCACTTTTTAACCTTCATCTCTTTTTAACCTTCAAACAGCTCTGCCAAGTGGGTTAGAGGGAGGCGTGGCAAAGGCCATTCAGCTGCGCTGCTTGTGGCTGAGCGAGGATTTAAACCCCGATCCCCCCAGGACAAGTTGGACACTATGCCAAAACTGTGGGAGGAGTGAGGGAAGGTCGGGGCAGCGTCGGCTACCCCCAACTTGCCAGATCTTCTTCCCAGACTGTGACTGTCTTGGGAAGGGGGCGTCTTTACATTTGGGGAAGGGATCGGCAGCGGTTTGTCATTCTGGATGCAGCCAATGAGTTGTGGATAGCGTGTCTGTGAATAAATGTCTTTTTAATGTCCCAGTTGCATTATTATATATCAATATTCTTGATTTTAAAATGGCTGCTACCCATTCGGAGGAGGAACCATTTATAAATAAATCCATTGATTTTATTTTATTTTATTTTATTTTTGCACAGGCATGTACATTTTCCTTCCTTCCTTTAATTTACTTATTTAATAATGTACATCCCAATTCTCTAAATATTGTCAAAAGCAGCTTTTAGAGCAAGGTCCAAACAAATCAGAGATCAAACATTTTACAAAAATCGATAAGACTTATTTCTGCCCCGATAAAAGCTGCTTACTGTCACCAAGATGCCTTTTGGGCCTAGGATGGTAAGAGGTGGCTGCCCCAGCCAAGTCACAGGCCTGATATGTTTTTATGATGAATAATATTAGTATTGCTACTATTATTAACCTCAGAAAGAGACAGTCAAGGTGACTTACAGCTGTTTTATATTCCGTATGTTTTAATTGTGTTGTAGTTGTTACCCACCTGGGCTGAGGCACCGGTGGGGGTCTGGATCCCCCTCTTCCCCTGCTCATGTCGTAGCAGCCACGTCTCTGCTGGTGCCAGTGCAGGTTAATGGTAGATTGCCAAGCCCAGGAGGCTCAGCCCGGACATGGCTGGAAGCTCGGAGCACACAGAAGGGAGAGATCGACAGGTCAGGAGGCAGAACCCGCTGCTGCTTGGCAGGGCTAGAGAGAGGCATTCGTGAAGTAGGATTCAGTACCTGGTGCATGAAGGGTGGCGACAAAAGCAGAGCCGTCCTGCTGAGCGGTTTCTTGAGGCTCACGGGGGAAGCTGGGGCATGTAATGGCAGCCAAATCAAGGCAAGGAGAAAATACGTCCTTGAATAGCTGCAAGTGGGTCCTGCCGGCAGGGAGACTCTCCCGCCAGGACAATAGGAGGATGCTGTCTCAGCAGAGAGCCGGTGAGGAGCTAGTTGGCCACACCCCTCCTTGAGGAGATGACTGGACTGTTCAGGGGCTGTTGCCTGATTTTGAAGTCTTAGCCTTCTGTGAGGCTGGGGAGATGGACTTCCTTCTGGGGGAATATTCCCCGAGTCAGAGAATGGTGGCAGGGTTCCCTTCTCTGCCGCTTGCCAAGGGCCAGGGGTCAAAAACCAAGGCCTCCAAGCGAACTTTCCTACCTGCATGTTACTAGTACAAAGGGTGTTTGATGCTTCCTTTAACCTTGTTCTTCAGAGCAAGAGAAAAAGGCTGCAGTCCTCAGGAAGGACAGTAGCAAAAAACAGCCTGCTGGCTTGCACTTGCGCCTTTGTGACCTGTTAGTCTTGGCTTTTCCTGTACTGTGAAGGAAGCGCATGCTTCTTCCACCTACGGGGAAAGCATCTGTGGAAAAACCCGCAAGGCTGACCCTGAGCCCCGCTGGGCCTTCCGGGGCTGGTCACTGGGGGGAAGATCCACAGCAGGTCCGCCTGCGCTTGCAGCCAGCTCTCAGGCCCACCCAATTCGCTCTGCCCGTCCCAACCGCCATTTAAGAAGGCTCTTTTCCGAAGCTTGAAAACGTGTGCTCCAGAAGTGTGTTTTGCCTAAATTGCCCTTGAAACGGGATTTGATGGTGTGCAGTCTGTCTGTGTGCCATTGAGTACCTAGAAATGTGTTTTGCATCCATGCAAATGAGCACCAGGTTGGGGGGGGGGGCTGTTGGTGTTCAAAATGAGCAGGTGTGTCCCATGCACGTGTCGGAAAGTGTGCAGTGTTTGTGGGAGCTTCTCTGTTTTTGAGAAGCTAAGCAGATGCTGCCCTTTAAAAATTAATAAGTTTGAACTGTTTCAAGTGTCAGGAAAAAGCAAAGGAGAGCGAGAGACGCTTGCGGGGCCTGTTACTGTTGGGAGGGTGAACCAAGGAAGGATTTGGTGCCCTTCTTCTGCCCCCTGCAAGTCCCCGAGTCCTCGTCTCTGCCCAAAACAAACACCGCTGCCTCCTTACCCTGGCATGGACTTGCTTTCTGGAGCCCCTTCTGCCTTTGGCTGCGTCCACTACTGGAATGTGGCCCCCAAAGAGCTTCTGGAGGCGGTCCTGTGCCCCCCTCAGGGTGCGCTCGTGGCTCTCGGCGCCGCATCTGCCTCTGTCCCTCCACAGGTGTCTCTGCCACAGATGCAACCTGCGCTGGGCTTCTGTGGGCGCCTTCCCGCAGGGAGCTGCGCAGTCTCACCCGCCATGCCTCTTTCGGCCCCTTTTCAGAGTGTGGCTGCCCGAGATGCCTTCTGTCGCTCATCTAGCTGAACATCAGCTACATGTTTAAAACACGGGCAGCATTTCTACATCCTCAGAGAGTCTCTCATTCCATTTTGGAATATGGAGACTGGCACAGCTTGGCCATGAATCCAAAGGCCCGTTGTTTAGTTTTTCTCCTTTTCTTTTCTTTTCTTTTCTTTTCTTTTCTTTTCTTTTCTTTTCTTTTCTTCCTTCTCCACTGCAGCTCAGTTTCTCAATCACCTACTCTGGCGTAGTCTGGATTTCCTGCAGTGTTTTCCTCCCTTTTCCTCCCCTGGGAGAGCCTTGTCTGCTGGTGGCATCTGTCCCCTTCTCTCCCCGCCGAATGCCTAGGCAAAGCAGCAATTTAATTTTTAAGCAATGTCTATCTCTTCTGTCAGTGCCTTCCCACCCACCCCTTTTCATCTCTTGCAGGCCCGCCTGCCTCTGCAGCCACCCTCCTCTTCCTCGCGTGCCTTATGGGTATGCTGCTGTCTCTCTCCTTGGTCACCCTCAGAGCCCCCAGTCCTTCACCGCCTGCCCCTTCCTGCTATCCCTCCCACAGCCCTTCCCCGGGAACGGGCCTCGTTCCCCCTAAATTCATGGCCCCTCTTTGATGCCCAGCCCCGTGGGGCTCTCGGGAGGCAGCGATGGCGTGTGGCATTTGGAGCCTTGGAGCAGATGGTGCTTTAGTGCCAAATGTTCCCCCTTCGGAGTCCCCCTTCAGCGCCCTCCCAGTGCTTCCAAATTACTCCACAATATGCTCCGTCTCGCTCCTCCTCCTGATGGCTGGTCTCTGCAAAGCCGGCTGGGCCGCCAGTTGTGCATCTTAATCCCACATCCCGCTCCTCATCATCTCGGCACCCCAGTCCATGGCAGTGGATTGCACATTTTGTGTAAGCAGCGTGAGAAAATGTCATAAGGGCTCGATTTGGGCTTTCGGGAGATATGCTCCCTGTCCCCACAGTTCCATTCACATGAATCAAGATCAAATCCCCAGCAACTAAAGCTGATAAGAAGCCGTTTAAAAAGATGCACGGTTCTGGCCCTCATGATGGCAGGGGAAACCGTAGTAGTTCCACGGTGCTTCAGCCACTCCGGCCAGCTGCACTTTCGCACCGCCCAAGCCCCCAGATAGGTCACCCATCCAGCCTGCACCGCTCCGCTGAAGGAGCAGCTCGAGCAGGGTCACTTGCACCCCACGCTGTGCCTGCGACGGGCTCATTCTGCGCCTTTCCCTTGCACAGTCGGCCTCTGCTATTAACAGCATTTCAGCGTCTAGAACAATTCAGGTTTCGCTTTGTGGTTTTTCAAGGCAATCTTTGGTCCCCGTGATTGTGGAGGAAATCTTGCAAAATCATTTTAACGATTTGAAAATGCGAAGCCAAGCAGTCAGACAGGTGGTGGAAAAGTGAGGAAACGGCATATAGAGACGTTCAGTTTGTATTCTGTAGACACTGAAGTTCCTATTCTTACTGAAGGTTGTATAAGACAGCCTTCCCTACCCCGCTAGTAGTGCTGGGCTGGAACTCTCACTGGCTTAAGGCCACCCTGGTTGGGGATGATGGAAGTTGTGTTCTCCATCCTGAATTGGGAAAGTCTGCTGTAAGAGCACAACTGGGTGGTGTTGGCATGACTTGCAGGGTTTCCTACATGCCCTCCTGGGAGCCAAGACAGACCTGAAATTGAAACGTGTCCCTAACCAAGCAGGTGGAGGAGGGAAGACCAGCGGGTGGTTCCTTAAATAAATGCCCGCTTCATGCACACACCCCACTTTTCTCTATTTCTTCTCGCGCCCAGGTTTTCTGGAAGCCAGCACTGTGGACACATTCACTGCGCGTACCAGTACCGCGAGCATTACCACTGCCTGGACCCCGAATGCAACTATCAGGTAACGGCAGAACCGAAGAGAGGCGCCGGGGCTTTCGGGGCGGGGTGGAAGGCTTGGCTTGTCTCCAGCGACTCGGGAGCCTCAGTCCTGGCTTCTCCAGGGGACGGATGGGAAGAGCTGGGTGGCAGGACATTCTGGGTGGCAGGACGTTCACTACCGGTGAGGCCAGAATGTTCTGGGCTCAGGGGACACGTGGCCGGGCTCAGGACGTGGCTGTGGGGCGGGGAGCAGCTGGCACAGCAGGTCCTGTGCAAGCAGAGGGACCCCCGTTCCCATCTTGGCACCTCCAGGCAAAATGGCCACTGCCCGGGCAGCCAGGAGGTGTGCAGACCCTCGGGCCTGCGGGCCACACCTGGCCTTCCCCTGCTCCCTTTCCTCCAGGCCAGCAGTCCCTTCACCGCTTCCTCGGCTTCCGTGTGTTTTCCTCCCAGTCCGAAGGGCTTGGAGGCCTCTCCTCAGGCTTGCTTACTGGCACAAGAGGCTTTTGGCTGAAATATGGCGCAGCCGTCCTGGGTTGTCACAACCTCTTTGGAGAATCCCTCCTTCCCACAGGGCCTCTGGCCGCCCTGCGATGGCAGCGGTGCAGAAGATAAAAAGCACCGTACATGATGTTGCAGTTAGAGGCTTTTTCCAACCTTACTCCTGCATCTGGGGGTGGCTGCCCCTGGGCCTTTGACCCCGGGTAAGGGGTGCCAAGCACCCCTTACCACCCCCTTTCCCCTAGAAGGCTGATTTGTCAGCCCCCATTTTAGGATGTTTGCTGAGATGCCCCTCCCACCTGCAGCCTTACAGGCAAGTGGAGGCCACTGCCAGCGGATCCCGCTTAACAAGCACAAGCTTTGGCCTCCCACGCAAGGACTTGTGTCATCGGACTGGGGTGCCAATGTCATTCGGCCTGGCCGCTTCAGCAGCTGCCTAAGCAGAACACTCAGGGTGATCAGCAGCGGTCCTGTGCCTCCGACTGGCCTCGGAGGCAGAATTTCTGGAGGAGGAGGAGGAGGATGCTGAGGAAGGGGCAGAAGCCAGGCCGGAATATCTGGGAGAGCTGCCAGAACACGATTGTTGGGCCAAGCTCTTGGTTGCAAGCTGTGCCTGTTTACCCTGCACTCCAGTCCAGGAGCGTGACTCTTCCATTTCGGTGCTGCGGGCCTCGGAGAATCAGGGGAGTAAGCGGGATTCCCAGGAATTACCGCAGCCAAGTCTGGGAGCAACAGCTCCAAGTGCAGCCTGGGGAGAGCTCACTCGCTTCCAAGCCGGCAGGCTGCGGATTTCTCCTGCTCAGACCAGGAGCGTGGACTCCGTACCAGAGAGGAGGTGTTTTGTCTGATGAGGCAACCCGTAGCAACAGAGGAGGCCTGAAAGACTAGAGGAGAGGCATTTGCGATGGACTTGGGGAGATGTGCAGGGCATTGAATTTTTGATCTCATGAGGCTCTGAGGCTTTTGGCTGATTTTGCAAATGCAGATCATCCTGAAGGCAGGATATATATTTTTACATAATGAAGAGCATTCAATAATAAGTGGCTGCAAATTAATGGTGATTGGCAATTGAATTCCTGTAATATAACACCTCAGGGAAATCAGGCCAGGGGTCTCCTTTGGTGTGACTGTGTAAATCCCGAAGTTTAATAGAAGCAATAGAAATAGACCAGAAAGCATTTATTCTTACTGCAGAAGGAGAATGGGTAGGAGGTGGTGTGGTGCTCTTTCTGTCCAGAGGGTTTTCTTCTTGGTAGCTGTACGATCACCCCCATCCCCACCCCAGAGACTGACCTGTGCCAGCAGCCCCCCGCCCAGGCCTGAAATCAGGCCAGGGATGGGGCAGAGTGCCGGCCGGCAGCCGTGTGCCCTCAGGAAGTGTAATTTGGTCTGGCTTCATTCACTCTGCCCGGATCAATTCTTGCATTCTGCAGTCGGCCCTACCGGCGTGGGAATGTTGGGTTTGGCCCAAAAACGTGCCGTCTGATCCATACCATCTCACACCAGCCACGTCCACATGTGCGCACAAGCCTCACGAGAGAACTCGGAAGGCACTTTGGCTGCCACTTGCGAAAACACCCTTGCAGGTCGCTGAGCTAGCTCCACCTCGTAGGTTTCTGCCTCTATGGCCCGGTTCACACAAAGCACTAAGCCACAGTGTGATTAGCTGAGATCTGGCTTGTCGCTGTGTCTAAACCCCTTCCCACAAGCAAACCATGCTTTCCCAACCAATTACAAGCCGGGGATGAAAGCCATGCTTCGTTGTCAGCTTACAAGCCCTGGCTCATTTAAACAATAGCATGCTGCGATGTCTGAACAGAGAGCCATGGCTGATCTCTGTCTTGTTTACACGGCCGTCTCTCCTGAAGCGGAGTGTCCGTCAAGGGCAGTCTGAAAGTGAAATTGCCCCGAAGCCCGGAACAGCAAGTAGGAGATAAACAAGCCAGAAATAAGGGGGAAAGCAGCAGTCTGTCTGTCTGTGAGACAATTCACGGTGGAAGGAAACGAACTGTGGTTCACATCAGCCGTGGCCTAGCTTTGTGCGTGAATGCAGCCAACGGAAAAGGGCCCTTCCCGCACAGAGCCATACGGCCTCGCCGCCACGCCGTCCTCCTCCCCTGCGCCAGCACCGCCCTCACCCTCTGCATCTCCCTCTCGCCACCAGAGATTCACAAGTAAGCAAGACGTGATCCGGCACTACAATATGCACAAGAAGCGTGACAATTCCCTCCAGCACGGCTTCATGCGCTTCAGCCCCCTGGACGACTGCAGCGTTTACTATCACGGCTGCCACCTGAATGGGAAAAGCACCCACTACCACTGCATGCAGGTAATGGTGCCGGGGCACGTGCCACCTTTGGCCCTGGGGGCGGGGGGTCCAGGACCGGCACCACCTGCACGGACGGGTTAGCTCCCCTGTCTTCACTCACACAGCTGCACGGCGCAGAGCTCGGGCGGGAAGCGGTGCGCGGAAGCAGGCACGGCCTTCCTAGGCAGCCGAAGGGAGCCAGCCCCTGGGCAGAGCCGCTGCGGTCGGCATTTGCCGGGGGTGTCTCCTAGCGAGGGCGCTGGAGGGGGCCACTGCCGTCTCGTCAGAGCACCCCCGAGGACATCACAGGGCACACTCCAGAGCAGGACCTGTCCCAGGACCAGTACGAGGGCTCATCCCGAGAGCCCTGGAATCGCTCCGAGACAGTGCTGGGGAGGAGGTAGCCCCCCTGGGGTTCAGAGGGCCCTTCAGCAGGCCCTGGACCCTGGTGCTGGGTGGGTGTCCCAAGGCACCCCTCTCTCGCTGCCTCGGTGGGCCTGACCTGAAGACGAGGCAGGGCTTCCCATGCACGTGACGCTCCGCGGAGGGCCGCCCTCAGTCGCGCTTCCTTCCTTCCACACCAGCACAGGGCCCTTCCCTCGGTGCGGACGACCCTAACCGGCCCCCTTTTGCATCAGGGAAGCGTCTCCTGGATGTGGAGCAGAGTTTGGAGTGCAGAGCGGATGCTTCCTCCTCTGACCGCTTCCCCGCCTGCGACTCCTCTGGGCCGGTCGAGCTGCAGGGGCTTCTCTGCAGGGTGCCCCTTCCTCGCAGCTCATCAGAAGTGCTGCTGTGCGGCCTCTCGGTGCGTCGCCTGCCCTTTAGCATTGGGTTTGTCCCTTTGTCACCGGCTGCTAAGCCAATCAAATATTAATCGCAGCCCAGTGTCAAAAGCAATCAAGAAGGAAGGAGCCTTCCCTCTGTCTGTCTGTCTGTCTCTCTCTGCCAATAAGGTAGAGGTTTATGTGAGTTATGCGGTGCGGCCCGTAGTGGTTGGGGGATTTCAAAAGCCAGCCATTTTGAACGGCGTGGCACCTCACAGGCTTTCCGTTTGGGGCAAAGTCAACGAGAAAGTTGATCGTCACCTGCTCTCAGGCCCAGCTGTGCCACGGCGATCCACGGCGATCCCTTCTGGGCTGCCAGAAGGAAGGGGCTGCAGCTCCGTGGCCCATCATTCAGTCCCAGGCATCTCCAGATGGGGCGGGAAAGAGCCGTGCCTGAGACGCCACGCAGGCCAGCGATGCTGGGCTGGGAGGACCACGTGTCCGGCTCCTTTCAAAGTGCCTTCCTCCGTTTCCAGGAGTGCCCATCTAGCAAGACTGCCCTTTGCTGCTGCTTTCAACTTCTAGAGACCTCCCCCCAAATGTTTGTAAGAGCGGTTTAATCCAGGCGTTTCCCCCAAATGGGCTTTTCAGGTGCCCTCCCAGAGATGGTCAGCTGAGCCCTCGGCCACTGCCCTTCCCCTACCAGTCTCCCACCACGGTGGATACACAGAATATGTCCTGGGGCACAGTCTCCATGCGCAGGGAGGTGGGCAAGCCCATGCCCCGCGTGGGCCCAGTGCACGCCCCACGAGCAGGATCCGCTGCCTAGCAGCAGAGAAGCTGATATGGAAAAGGTTTGCTGGAAGGGGTAGAAACTTTGAAAACCGCTGCCAATGCCCATGTTAAGAAGAAAGGTGTTGGAACGCTACGGATTCCACATGAGAGCAAATACCCCTCTTAAACAGCAGTATTTGTGCCACGGGCCTTGCGAGCACCTCCCCCCCTTTATGTCCATAATTGGTGTGGACAAAATTCAGTTGGTTGTTTATACAAATGGACATTTTTCATGCTTTCACGCAAAGAGCCCCGTTGCGAATTATTCACGAGGAGTTTTTTGTTTAATTTTCCCTTTTAACACCACACCGGGGTCTGTCTTCTCTCAAGGTGTCAGGGTGGAAAGAGGCCCTTGTTATATTGGAAATAGCTTCAGATCTCCCTTCTCCCGGCTTCCTCCCCCCACTCCCCCCCACCCTCCTTTCCTGGGTGTTTTGTCAGATGCTTTGCTATTGCTTCTTTGAATCAGCCCAAGCTGAACTGGAGGAGGCGGGGGGGGGGAGGGGGTGCTTTGGTTTACTTCACTTCTGAGATGGTGCAGGCGTTGGCACACGATGTGCAGACGGGCCTGGGAGGAAAGCAGAGCTCCTGGCGGGCACAGTGGCCTTGTCAGATTCTGCTGGAATTTTACTCAATATGGCAAATTAGACCACTTTGCCCAGGAACAGTGGTGTGTGTCTGTGGTGGGGGTGGGGGGGTAGGTTTTCAGCATCCCATCTCCATCACACAGCACTCGTGCGTGTTTAAAATAAAGCTCGTGGCAAGCTTGGAGAAAGGGGCGGGGGTGCCCTGTCCCCGTGATCAATTTATTCGGGTTCCTCTACCTTTCATCCCTGTGGCAGGAGATGGAGATGGAGCAGATGATAGTATTAGTCGGCCTCTCTTTAGCGCAGCCATTACACGTCCCGGACTCCGTCGCAGTTTGACGGTCCATCAGAGGCTTGCCAGCTGACCCATCCTCAATTCCCATCTAGCTGTAGTCAAGCAGACCAAAAATACC